GAATATTCTCATTTCACTGGTTTATTCATGGCTTCTGGAATAATGTGTCGCAGGGAAACAGCAAAACTGTTAATGCTGCTTAGCATCCCATTATTACCAGTAATTACTCCCCAGAATCTGCACACCTGTCTGTGTCTCTGTATGCAGTGTCCCTACATGCCTGCATTAACCAAACACCATCATTATTTCCTGCAATTACCTTGAGCACCTGCCTGCCTGTCTGTCTACATGTATCTCTGCCGGCTCCAAGTTTCTCTCAGTGTGTTTGTGTATTCAGACTGTTGGAGGGAACAAGAGCACCTGAAGGAAACCCAGACAAACTCAGGGACAACATTCAAATGAGTAAGAATTCTACAATAGATATTGGGCATCTACCTGAAGCTACTTTACCAAAACTATTTTACGGAATAATAAAAATCTTCCAGAAAAATACAACCTTTCATCAAAAACTTATTTTACATGTTACCATGGCTTAAAACACACCTATTGAGAGTAATCAATGGTTTTATTTATTGTAATAATAAATAAGCCTAATAACTCTGAAGCTACTTGCTTACTTCCCAACATACTCCTCTCATCTTAACCCCAAAATACCCTCAGAAGTGAGGATTAGCTAAAATTACCTGACTTCAAAAGACACACAGTGGACAGTAAACACACAATAATAACAGGTGTCCACTCCCGTGGTTCAGGTGTCCTCATGCAGAGTTAATCCATCCTTAATGAATAATCATTAAAATGACTAAAATATCACTTTTCCAACCAAAGAGGTAGGTTGTGATGCTTTCTGGCATAAAAGAGGAAGCAGGTGCTGTTCTTCCAGCGGTAATAAAGGTCAAGGTTTTAAAGTTTGTCTCTGTAACATCACCAGAGACAACAACTCCAACGTGTTAGTGAAACTTTGACTTAATTCGTAAGAGTATCTTTGGGATTTAGTTCAGCCGGCCCGCATGTTAAAGATGTCCTCAGTAACATATATCACAGTTAATTTGGAGGCCATGTTGAGCTTTTTTTTTTTTTGAGTATAAACAAACTGAAAGGCTCTGTGTGCTTTAGTTACAGCCTGGCTGCCAACAAACATCACTGACAAATACACTCTCTCTTCACTCTGTCTCTTGTCACACTGTTACCACATATCATTTCAAACTAAACAGCCCCAACACACTTCACACACCCTCTGCCGTGTTTGACTTTGGGGTAAACTGTACAATTTTCCTGTGAATTAGGTCTGCACTCACGCCGCTGCCAAGTCCACTAAAAGCCATTAGACACAGTGCAGGTTAGATCTCTGAGACAAATGGAGTTTACAACCTAGCAAGCAGTCCAGGTTTGTGTAGCGAGACGCTGTACTTCTCTTTGTGATGAATTCAGTCATGTTGAAAGAATTAAGAGAGGTGGCCGGAGGGGCTGGCAGTGTAGCCAAGATACTTGATCAAATAAAGGAAAAATCTTGTTATTCTGCAAAGTGTCAGAATATGAAGTGTTTATTGTGACAGTGATCTTTTGAAGATCACAGTGATTCAGGCTGGCAAAAGAACTTGATATTACATTTTCTATTCTTTTGTTTTATCCCTAAATATAAATGTCAGTAACTGTCATAATAACCAGTAAACTTCTAGCACGTCTTAATTTCCCCCAATCTAACTCATTTTTAATCCCTTAACATAACATTTTGCAGCAAAGTAGATACCAACGAAAGTAATGGATGAATGGTGGAAAACGCCCAGCTTCTGTCTCTCTGGTGCAAAGGCTTACTTGTCCAAACCTACTGAAGGAGCCTGCAGCCATGCTTGCAGCTCCGTGAGGCTGTGCTTTGAGCAAACAGCTCCTGTCAGCATGCCAACATGCTCCCAGCTAAGGTTTAGCAGGTATAATGTTTACCATGCGCACCATCTTCATTTAGCTTGATAGCCTTCTAACATTTGGTAATTAACAGTAAAGATAAAGTGCAGCTGTGGCTGATGGGACTGTCATTAGTTTTGTAGTCATAAATCAAAGCAAATTAAAATCTTGACCTGATGATGGCGCTAATGGAAAAGTCAGTTTACCAAAGTTATTACATTTCCAACCGACCAACATTGCCTTTTCTAGAGCCATTTTGGCTTGGTTAAAAAAACAGCAACACACCAAGCCTTAACAGTGACAACCCTAGGATCAGTATGTATTATAAGAAAAAAAGTATTTTAAAGTATCCACTTTTATCTAATGAATAGTGTTAAATAACCTCTGGTTTAATATTCAAGGATTTAATGTTATTTATTGTCATTTACAACGCAAGGATGTAGAATGAAATTTTGAAATTAGTCAGTGAGTCAAAAAGTTCAAATTTGTCTGATAAATTGTTGAGGAAGAATTTAACAGCCAGTTCAATAATGGATTGGTGTGGATGAAAGGGTACTTGAGTTCATCAGACAGGAAAAAAAGGGGTTGGAAACAACTGCTTTGGGGCTTTCCAAATGTCATTACTGATTATTTGTTTGAAAACATGGCTCCAGCCTCCTGGTTGCATCTGTTAAAAATATGGCTACAAATCAGCTAATTATCCTCTCTATTACTGTTCACTATGGTTTATTGTTAAAGCTGCCAGTGAATATCCTTTTATGTTTATAGGAATACACATATAAATAACTGTTGAGATGTTCTCAATGAGGTTCTGGTTAGTGATCATAAAATAAAATCTTAAAGATGTCTCTGAACCACCACCATCTTTGACTGATTATGAATGACACATGATGTCATTTTCATCATCATTTCAAGCCAGACTTCTTTTAACTTCTATTCCTGCCTTCAATTTCTTCCCTTCCTTTGTCATTCGGTGAAGCTAAAGTGATCTAATGGATGAAGACAACAGATGTCCGACTGATTATCAGTCACTTCAGCTGAGGACTGGAACAGACAGCTCACCGATGTCTTTTATCCTGAGATCAAAAAGGCTTGAGATGGATGCGCACAGCATCAGTGTCCTGCAGGGGTCGCGTACATCTTAATCTGTCACAGTTTGCTGTAAATAGTAGCTGGCGTCATTTCTACCTGTCATCTGCCAGAGGAGCAAAGAAGGGTTTTGGTTAAGACTCTCCATATTAAGATAGAAAACAACATTTGTGGTTCCTTGGGGTTGGATCCCAGATTTGTTATTGCAGTTAAAAGCCAGACATTAAATTCAACACTGTCTGTTACATTACCTGAGGTGATATAAAGGTAGTTCAGGCTGCACATGCATGGAAACTGCAAAGTTACACATTAAGCTGCATTTTACAGACGTACATGCTAGAACTCACATAGATACACGCTCACCAATATGGATGCAGGCGTGAACAAACTGCACGCACACACACACGCACCGCACACACACGCACACGCACACACACACACACACACACACACACACACACACACACACACACACACAGGTCCATGGTGCAGACAGACATTTCATGGCCGTCAGTTTGAGTGATGACAGGAGCTGATTGCATCAGTGTTCAGGGCAGGGAGGGATCACAAACACACATAAAGAGAGAGGGCAGACACACATACACATACAAATCCCTCATGATGCAGGATAGTGATGAATTCTGTTTAGTCCTGTGGTCAGAGCATCCCAGGTGGGAGGGGTCAGACCTTCTTCTCAGGGCTATCTCTTACAGACCAATGGTTCAGCCTGATGGCATCCCCAGATACAATGGCTGCATTTATTCATATCCACAGAACAGAATAGAGTATCACCAACCAAGCCTTGCACAGGAACAATGACACTGAATTAGACTTAACTGTTCTTTAATTAAATGAACAGAAAGTACAAAGCAAACATTGTGGTCAGTGACACGGTCCTGAAGCTGTTGATTGATTGGTCCCGTAGGAAGAAAAATACAATTGTCCCCTCTTTTTATTTAAGGAAATATAAACTATGATGATACTGTTTACATATGGATATGCTGATTTTATAGGGGGACAATATTTTTATTTCAGAATTCTTCTGGTGTGGTCTAATCTACTCTTCATTTTCAGAGAATTATCCACGGACTATTCACTGTTGAAACTATATGCAATACTCTTTGAAGTGTCCAAAATGGTCCATGTTGAGGAAATTGCACTCTGTTTGTGGCCCTTCGTTGCCTCTGTCTTATCCTTATTTCCACATATCAGAGCATTGCAGAGTGTGTTGCATCATTACCACTCACCAGAGGCTAAAAAACCTGTGTTTATCTGTATGTTTTTACTGTTTCTTTATTTAATTTTTTGCACGTTTGGTGCGGCTAGGTCCAAGTAGTAAGCAAGTAGCAACAGAAATAAGTATTGTTGCTATGGATACCTGCGTACTGATTTACAATCATGGTTAAACTGTTGGCGTGAACTATGTTTGAGGTTCCAGAAAATTCATTTCTGACCACTGGGAACTAAATTTCATTTTTTTTTTTTTAAATCAAAGCCATCAAGGGCTCCTTTATTAACTTTCTGGAACTTTAAACTGAGTTTGCATTCAGCAGTGGACCCCTGAGCTCAGACTGTTACATATATTTAAAGTGAGGAGCCAATCAGAAACCGTTTTATACAGCCTTTAAGAACACCTGTCCAAACCATTTAAATACACCTTGCTAGACTTCAGGCCTCTGCCACTGGTCGGGATTATGTGCTGTCTCATGTGCTGACCCACATAAGTGGACACATAAAAGTCAGCACAGACTCCCATCAGGCCTAGTTAAAGCCCGTTGTCCTGTCGCATTCCTCTCGTTATGACGGTAATCTATTAAGTTTCCTGCTATTATAATGAGGACAGAAGCTGGTTACAGTGGGAGCCTAACATAAACCAGCCAACACCGTCGAGCAAATCGGACGTCACTCCACCCTCGGTTTGGTGGACAGTGTGTGTATTTCTTCTCCTTTTTCTTTTTTTTTTCCTTCCCTCCCTCCTTTTCCATGTTCTCCACTTCTCCCTCGAAGGCCGCAAGTGTTTGATTCGCTGTCTGGCCGTGCATATTAATGAGAAGGGGACAGCGGGCTGCTTTTAAAAGAGCTGCTGCCTGCCTCTCCACAGCAGAGAGAGAGAGAGAGAGAGAGAGAGAGAGAGAGAGAGAGAGAGACCTAAAAGAGTGATTGAAGGTTCATCCAAGCGCTCAGGACGCACAGACGGAGTTGCACAATCAGCGCTCCAAAGGGACTCCAGAAAGCAGAAAGCCCTCAGCGCTCCTTCAGCTCTGCCATCCAACAGTCGCTGCAAGTGGATATTATTTGCACCTCGACAGACTTTTGCTGTGTGTTCACTCGTAGAGAGCGTTTGGGGAGCTAGGATTTTGAGGAAAAACAGATCTTTAAAAAAAAAATAAAAAAACAACTTGTGAAGAAATGCATCGGTGCACAGCGGTGCTACTTTTGTTAGTGGTGGCCTTGTACTTCCTGAGCGCAGAAGGTAAACTTAAAGCTTTCTTATTTGTTTATTGTTATCTTAAGTTGGTATTTTTGCACTTAAGCTATGGTGATGTAACTGGGTAACAAACAATAGGTGGAGGAGGGATGTATGGTTTTTTGTGACGCCTCATTTGCTCTGTTAGTGCGCATTGAGGGAAGAATATGGGTTGAGTGAAGTTGGTGTCAAAGATCCGCAAAATCTCCATCACAGACTGAAAACAACAACTTAAAGTGTCTCAGTGGTGCGTTTGCTTGCATGTTTACGTCTCTATGTTGACATCGCCCTATTCATACCAGCTGCATGTGTTTTAATCTGATCACAAAAACACTCAATCCAGCACTTTGTTCTTAATCTTAACCTTATTCTATCCGTAAACACTGATAACTTCTCGAGACTAGAGTGTAATGATGAATTCAACTGTGGTATTAAAAAATCTGACCTCATCATGAGCCTGAAGTTGACATTTGCAAGCTTTCTTACACCCTGAACGCTGCTCTGGGACTCTGTGTGTCTGCCAAGACAAATGAAGCTCACCATATGTAGCTGAGATAGTTTAAGGCCAATATTCGTGGGGGGGGGGAGATTTAATGAGGAAAATGATCTGCAAATATTAAATGTAGTATACATATACTCAGTGGAAGAGTTGTACCTGCAAATGTCAACTTGTTGGGATAATGTTAGGAATTTTGGAACACACATATTGCTTAGATGGACTCGTAGTGTTTTGGGGAAAAAGAGGGGAAACTAATAACTTAAACCATCAGCTTGCTTTCAGCTTTCAATGTCACTTAAATGTTATATTATTGTCATCAGCTAGATGGCAGGACACATGAGTAAACAGTCTCTTCCCATAGGCTGCAGTGTCTAAGCTGTTTACCTCCATCCAAACCCCCATTACACGGTATACACAGATATATTAACCTCAGTGTCACCGTTCTTTTATTGGCCCTTGTTGTCCGGTGTGTATGTGCCGAGTGCCGGCACCACTGTGGGTCTTGTGACAGATTAAGTGGCCAGCGGTGGGGACAGATAGCAGGTGATGGATGAAGGAAGCCTTGGACTATCCAGGTCATCACCTCCTATCATAATATACAACCCAGCAAAAACTCATTTCCTCTGCCTTTATTCAGCAGCATGAAGTCACAGCAACTAGAAAACTGGACCTCAGGAAGATGTTGGACTGAAATGAATAAATGTATAGATAGATGTAGCCTAAGTTAAAGCAGTGCATGCATCTCTCCCCAGATTTCTAAACTAATTTATAGAAAAGTGGCATAAAAAGTGGGGGTTATCTGTTAAAGCCAGAGGTTCTCCCTGCCTAACTTAATTCATTCCTCTTTGAGTTACAATGTATTGTTTTTAACATCTTTATATATGACTTTATCTGTAATTAAAACATTTACTGTGTTGTACTGCATTGTGCGAGTACATGAATTAAGTAGCTGAGTGACGGAGACGGTGTTTGTGAAGCAGTGAGTTGCAGGACTTCAGCACTGCTGGTAATCCCTCCTCGTCTGTGTGTGCTGTCAAGATGAACTGCAGTCTGATTGAGAGCCAGTTGGCTGACAAATCACAAAGAAGTAACTTTTCTGTCTCGTCAATATCTTTGTCAGTTTTTATAGCTGGAGGTAATTCTGAGTCTAACTTGAATAGTTATCTGTCACACAGTTCCGTTTCCACATGATCAATTTCCATTGTTTTCAAATCCCCTGGCATTACAAGTTCATTATGTTTCCATTTGATGATTAAAGTCAGTCTTATGCCTGTGTGTGTGTGTGTGTGTGTGTGTGTGTGTGTGTGTGTGTGTGTGTGTGTGTGTGTGTGTGTGTGATTTCTCAACAGCTTACAAGTGCAGGTGCACCAGAAAAGGACCAAAGATCAGATACAAGGATGTACAGAAGCTGGAGATCAAACCCAAACACCCATACTGCCAAGAGAAGATGATATTGTGAGTGAGAATTTTGTTCTCTCTCTCTCTCTCTCTCTCTCTCTCTCTCTCTCTCTCTCTCTCTCTCTCTCTCTCTAGTTTAGTGGTAATTCCTCTTTATCCTTCTCATCCTATTCTTCTTTTCTTTGCCCTTTTCTTACCCTGTTCTACTTCTTCCCCTTCTCCGTCCCTGTGCTGGCACTACAAGTCATAATATCGAAGTATTTGTACAACTTTAACCTTTAACCTTAATGACTGTCCTCCAAAATACCATAAACATAAACACATATAAATATATTTTTGGCAGCTGCACACTTAGAGCCAAGTGTTACCAAAACATCCTGTCATCTGTCCTTAAAGGACTTTGATTTAAATAAACCCTGCAGTCAGGAACCAAGGAATGATTTATTAGTTGAAAAGGTGGGGAGAGAAGAAACGCCTCTTTCCAGAACTTTCAGGTACTATCTCCATGACAATCTCATAAAGGGTTAAGCAACGTTTCCAGATATTTAATGATAAATAAAAGCAATTTTATTATGTTATTTCATACAAAATAATGAAAACAATATTTGTATGTAAACAATGTTCACCTGTCATCATAGCTGAAGAGTGATAGGAAAGAGGAGAGAGAGGGGATGACACACAGCAAGGACTCAGCCTTGGTACATCTAGCTCTACTAGGTGAGCTATCCGGGTGCCCCTACCATCTGACCTTTAACCCATAAAATCACAGCTCAAGCAAACAGACAGTTGTTATGTTCAATTTGAGCCATAGCATGAAAGTCTCTGCTCTCCTTCCAAAGGGGTCCAAACACACTCAAAGGAGCCTGTGGCGCACAGACAGACAGCTTTAAATAAATAAACTTACATTAGATATACAGTATGCAGTATTTTTTTTTTTTTTTTTTTTTACTCTGATCTTGGGCCAACTCTTGGGGATATAGTCTTGTACGTAGCTAGAAATGTGAGCTGTGGAATTTATTTGAAGTTTCATGTCAAAGCTACAGGAAGGAACAACAGATGGGGATGTTATGTCAGCCTCCCTAGAGTCAGTTTTGTGTTCGAGGCGCAAACTCTGCTGCCACCTGCTGGCAAACTACACGGAGAACACAATGTGGGTAACAGCAGTGACCACTGAGAAACTGGTAACTTGGATGTGACATATGGCATAAATCTGTTACCACAGATTTAGCCTTGTAGGCACAAAAATGCAAGTTCCTACAAAGTTAATCATTCAATTTTAGGGTGAAGACTTGGTTAAAGGTTAAGGTTAGGCATATAGTGGTTATCATAAGGTTTGTATTAGTCTCTAGGGAATGAATTTAAGTCAGTGCAATGCTCCCTTTAGTTGACATTTGTAATGAGATGCTTTGACGGAACCCTTAAATTTAAAATATTTATTCTGCAGTTAAGAAAACACCAAAGTTTTAACTTAAATTTTATGATTATGTGGTTGAAGGTTAGATGCTTGAACTGTGGAGTGTGCAGTAAAGTTTTCCTAATTAAAATGAGATTTATCAGATTTAATTAAATTCTTACTCAAATAATCAACGAATAGAAAATTCTATTAACATATTTCTCATTTTAGTCGGATATCAAGCATCAATCTATTGATTATTTATTTATTAAGTGTTTTCCATTTGAAGATGTCATCCTGGCCTCTGGGAACCTGTAAAGGTTTTTACAATATATAACAGCTAATTGTTATAAAGTTATGAAGTTATAAAGGAAAATATATATGTGCTGTGTTTTGAAAGACTACGCAGTAAGACATGGAGTTGAAGAAATCCAGTGTGTGTGTGTGTGTGTGTGTGTAATCCGCTGCACATCCATTATTTAAGGCTGCTCTATTAGCATGAGATGGGGGCCACCAGCCGCTGGTGCCCAGTGAAAAATGAGCCTCAGCGGGCTCCGGAAAGCCCCAGAGAGAAAGAGAGTAGGAGAGAAATGAGTGAGAGAGTCCCTCTTTGGCATTTGTTGTGGCCGCTTGGCTTACGGCTCTCAGTTTGGCATTCACAGCGACCACTCCTAACCACAATTAGAAGCTAGGAGCCCTGAAATGTCCCTGTTTTCTCCGTATTTCTTTTATTTCTCTCCATTTTCCCTTTCTTTATCTTTTTCGTTCAGCCTTTTTTCCCACTATATCGTATACTTTCTATTTTATACCATTTCTCACCCTCTTTTTATTTCTATAATTTCTTTTTTCTTATTGGTGCCTTATGCCTGTCTTTATCACATTATTTTTCTGTGTTTAAGCCTTTATTCACATCCTTTATTTAAGTAAAAACAGTAATACCAGAGTTTTAAAAAAATATTATGAGATTACTATTACTGATTAACATCTAAGGAGCATTTTAATGTTACTGCTAGTGGAGTTCATTTAAGCTACTTTGTAAACTTTTTAACAGTTTGTTTAAGATATTTATTGATCCCCCGTAGCTAAAATAAAAATTTAGCACAGCAACAAAGGGAAATATAGTGCAAAGAGTAGAGAAAGATTAAAGTACAATAAAATAAAATAGAATATAATAAAAAAATTTAAAACATACACCATATGCAATAATGTGTAATATGATAAGCTTGTGTATAACTGTACATGTGCAAGTATTGTGCAAGAGAAGAGTTGTGCTTAACAGGTTAATAGTTTTATAAGATGATGTTATTGTATGTTGTATCTGAATCTGCAAAGTCACATGTAATTGCAGCTGTCTAATGAATGTAGTCATATAAAAACATTCTGCCAACCATATTAGTTGTTGGAGCCAGTAGCTGCACTGCCCAGGTGAATTATAATGAGGAGGAACTAAAGCTCAAATGAACACACTGATTAGGTTTAAATTCACCTCTGCTGAGCAGCCATGGATAAACACTCATTTATTAAGGACCTGCAGATATGAGGCCATTGGCATGCACGCATACAAAAGCATTTTTTCTCTATCAAACACAAACACACACACACACACACACACACACAAAGCTCAGTTCTTCTTCCACAAAACATGTACAGCTGCCCAACTAAAGCTCTATAGCCAAACAAAGTGACAACTGAATGGGCAGGGAAATAGATGCAACACTCTTTAATCTAATCCTTATAACTACTGAATGCAGCATTTTTATTGAGAGTCAAGTCTTTTCTCCTGTAGTCAACTCATTTAACATTCATGGTTTGGTGAGCCTTTGAGTGTGTCACTGGATGGAGAGGCCCCATGGCATGGTTGGTGTTTTTCCCACATTTCTTCTTGTTTGGCCTGAATATGCCACATGCAGGCAGACTGTCTCTACCGATGCCTTTAGCAGAGGGTTACAGACAGACCAATTGATTCAATGAGCTTAGATGCCACATTTTTTAGTGGCAGCTCCATAATATTACTCCATTGCCAAGTAACTGACCGCCCTGTGCAAGCTGATCTTTTGAATTGAGAGGGCATTTAACTGTGGAAGTGTTATTGAGGGCAGTGCAGAATAGCAGCTCAAATTTGGGGCAAAAACAGGTCAAATGTGTTACAACTTGACCAGTCTCTATTCAGATGACTCAGACACGCTTTCAGATCATTTGAAATAGCTCCAAATCAGTATTTATACTCTATTCAGCTCCACTGAAGAAAACATACTGCAAGTTGACTCCTGAAGTTGATCTCAACCGTCTCTCAAACTGTTTAAGAGAACATTGTTGGCTCAATTTCTCCAAATATATTGTGCATCCTAATTCAACTTACAATAGTTGCAATGTCAAATATTTATAGCTTATGCTCTACATTTTCTTCTCTAAGTCAATCTACAGTAGCAATCAGATTCTGGTTTTATGGTATTGTGAGTAAATTTTTGATATATTGACCTGCTATCCTGTTATTTGTATTAAGTGTGTGTATATTATCATGTTATTTTTATTTTTGAAATGGTAAAAATGTGTTGAGCAGACAGCATGGGAGTGTACAGGATAATTTGTATTTGTATATATATTTTTTCACTTTCTAACATCTCATCTAATCTTTTTTCATCTCTTCTTCTTTGCTTGCCCTCTCAGTGTGACGATGGAGAATGTGGCTCGGTTCAAAGGGCAAGAGTATTGTCTTCATCCCAAACTTCAGAGCACCAAGAATCTGGTGAAATGGTTCCGCATCTGGAAGGACAAGCACAGGTGATAAATATTATGATTCCTTACATAGATTTTTGTCGTCCACCCCATCATTTATTAATCATGTTGATTGTCTTTGTGGCTGAGTCTGTGTCTATATTATCTGTCTCCCTACCTTAATGTAAAGGTTCTAAGGCTAGGCTTAGGACAACATAAAGTAATATAATTATGCTGCACAGGGCAACAATAATTGATATGATATAAGTGGCTATGATCAGTACTTACAGTGGATCACTATGACTATGTGTAATGTAAAAGGTGTCACTCTTATCAAGCAGCCCACAGACAATTATCACCCGACTGTGCAGTTCTCGTCTACGGGGCTTTGCAATGTCTTTTTTTAGCGACCAGCTGGTAAACATAGTGGAGCGTTTAGCAGCTGAAGAGCCAGCTATTCCTCTCAGGGGTTGATGAAGAGACTAAAAACAGAGCTGAAAGGAGAGTGAAAATTGGATTAACATTCATCAGAAGGCCAGAAACACAACTCCAAAACTGTGTTTGTAGGTTAAATAAAGGCTTTGTATAATGGACACATTTAGTAAGACACAACACCAAAATGTGCAGAATTGGTATGTATTATTTCCTGTTAGATTTCCATATCCCTTACTGCCCTGTTATACTGTTATCACTGACTGCTAGATCATGTTCAATGGCTTCATTGTGCAGCTTAATTGATTGCTTTTGCTGAAATTTCTCCTCTCACTGTCCTTCCACCATGGGAGGGTCAGAGATCAGGGTCAGCCGCAGACAAAAGCCCCATGGAGAGGGCAGGGATTCAGTGTTTAGCTGAGTAAAAAAGATAATTTCCACAGGGACCCGCTATAGATTGCAGGGTGATTAAACCTGTCCTTCCACTTACATCCACAAGACCAATAAATTGAACCCAAGAAACATTTGATCTCTATTCCTCTGACACTCGATGGAGCCGGATAATGACGTTTCTCAGAGAAATTAACTCTTATTTGTGTTTCTTCCTCCAGGGTGTATGAAGCCTAAAACCTCGGCCGCCCAGCACACGTGGATCAAGTGAGACAAAAACAAAACAAGACAACAATCACCAGGACTGTTTTTGTGAAGTACAAGATGTATTACTACAATCAGACTGTACTTCTCCCTCTTCTGCCTGAGATCCGTCAAGCACATTAAGAGATATCTTTATAGTTCGTATGTAAGCTGGTGGGCTCGTTTTAGTCGGCCATCAGTCTAGTCACAGTAACTTACCACTCCTGTCTTTACAACTGTAGTTATATTTTTCAAATAGTGGACGAGACACCGCAATCTGTGTTCAAACACTGGTAGGTTTGTTCAGTTATTACTTAAAGGGACTTCTCTTTTGCTTTGGCTTTTAGGCTTCTTTCAAAGTGAGGAATGTGTAAGAATGTGTCCTTCTGAAGAAACAGGCAAACCTTCCTTTGAAAACTACAGTGTGGGTGTTTCAGTTGTTAAGATTTTCTCTACTCTGTATTCAATGTGACAGGTAGGATGCTAGTACAATGCCAACATTTAGGATCTGGTTACCCGTGTTTAAGAGGCTGTAGTCGAGATGCAGCGATAAAGGTTCTCAGTGAATCTGATTCTCTGTATTTGTAGAGGAGAGGCGGTCGATGTGCGGTTACATATAATACAGAAGTTGCTATTGTTCAGTCAGATACAGGAGATTTACCACTCTGTGTGTGTGTGTGTGTGTGTGTGTGTGTGTGTGTGTGTGTGTGTGTGTGTGTGTGTGTGTGTGTGTGTGTGTGTGTGTGTGTGTGTGTGTTTACCATGTCCACACTAGTCATATGTGTCAAACAAACACTACTCTGCAGAACCCATTTTGTAAAATATTATCTCATTAACTGTCAGGGTGTAGTTTCAATAGATGTTAAAGACTACAAATAGTTAATTTGTGCCATTGCTACATACAGTACAGTCTGTGGATTGGAGTTCCTTTAAAAAGCTTGATTAATAAAGAAAGCAAGACTGTCTGCAGTTTACATCCACAAAGGACTATCTGTTATATATTTTCATTGGTTGAAAGACATTTTAGTTCCACCTCTTGAAATAAATGTGTAATGAAGCAATGTCTTATACAAACTGCCTACATAACTACTGTATTGAGCATCTTTAAAGGATAAGTAAGGCTGTTCATAACCTAGTTTTTTGTTAACCAATATCCCATGAAAATATTCAAATCGACAATGTGTTAATGTCTCTCAGTAGTTCCTAAATTCCCTAACCTGTCTGTTGCACTCAGCCCATTCATTCCTACTTAAACCTTTAAAAACAGGTCAGGAATACATACTCTCTTAATACAAAAAACACTTCACTCAAAGTAGAGTAAATGGTGCATTTATTGGGGACTATTTTCAGCTGCGGATTAATATACAAGCGGTGCTCTACTGAGTATTTACAGCAGCACAACGGTGACTCCAAATAAACTTAAGTGACCATGTTTATGGTTATAAAACAACATGTCACCCAGTTTAACTGTGTTGCTCACTGTTTTTAATAGTTTGACTACAATGGAGCTCTGTGGCGCAGAGGAATAAGATACATCAGGCCTCGTACAGACAGTACTTGTTAATAGGTTTTGTTTTTTTCATGGGATTTGTTGACTTGAATAAGAAAATACTGAATATTATCAAACGTATCCTACAAAATGGGTTATGAGCTATGTTATGTTATGAAAGTAATCATTGGACCAGTGCATGAGAAAACTTTCAACTTTCTTTTAGCATTGATGGGACAATTTGGCTGAAAACTCTGAAACATACTTACTGTCCACATACAAAACAACACTAATTACACAACAGCTATTGGAATAAATGGTAGGTGTTTCACTTATACTGCTGAAGATGATTTCACTGTCTCCTGCAGTCCTGTGTGGGTGAGGATACTCTGATCTGATCTCTCCTCCTGTAGATCTCCAGAACAATACTGTCAAACATGTTATTATTTTGTATGCTGTGGATACACTTTGTAACAATGACTGTTGGGTGTTTTTTTTGTTGCCACCAAACAGAATTCACACACAAATATATCTACATATATACAAAAACACCACATTTTCTTTACCTTTTGAAGAATGTGCATTACTCTTGTTTTATATCTTATATATAAATATATATATAAAGAAGCATTTTGTAAATGGACCAGTATAGCCTATATGTTAGTGAGAATGAATTCACCTTAAGACTTTCTAGTGTCATGTATATTGTATTACTGCATTATAGTTGTTTTTGCTATTTAAATCTTGGTTTGGTAACAGATATTTGGAGGTTTAGTGTTTGGACCGGTCCACCAAACACACCGTTAAACATTCCATTGTGTGTAAAACAATAAACACAGCAATAAAGTGTCTATAGAGAAGCTCATGTTTGCATTTGAGTCATTTAATCAACTACTGAAATAGAAACTGAAAAGCAAGAGAAAAACAATGCTGTTGCAGATATGTAGAGGGGGGAGGAAGGCAAATGAAGGTGCTGTGAGACAGGCAGTCCACCAGGTGGCGGTATATGCCAATTGATTGTTATCAGGCGAAGTGCCAGAGACTAATGTAAAAGATGTTCACAGTGAATACAAGGATAGTTGAGCTGTACATATTTCAGTGATTGGAGTTTGGACACATGAAATTGTTGTGCATATCACACAGAAAGACACTAATAGAGATAGTGAAGTAATGTAGGCCAAACATTTGAAGAGCTGTATGTAAATAAAAGTAAGTAGTAAGTAATATACTGATACACACATGCCAGTTTAACAATTAATATTAAAAGTCCTATATGAATAGGGAAAACAAAGGTTTATGACTTAACTTTAATTGAGTCATTTATTAGATAATTTAGTACTCTGGCACCTCTGATGCTTATGTACTGCATGCAGACTTGATAAATCACATCAGGTATAACAATAATATTTAATGTAGATAAGCAGAGGTAGTAGATGATCCCTGCTCCTTTTATATACAAAATGTATGGAGCTGCAATTACTAGTTGATAGACATTCAAAGGTAAAAGCACTTACTGTTAAGAAATGTCACTTTCAGGATATTATTGATACATCAACCTGTACTTTAACTATCACTTTGCCAACTGAATAACTGATTATGAAGACAGCAGTAAGATATGGATGAAAGCTCTGGGAAAAAGCAGGTTGGTGAAACCTAATATTGAAGTCAAACTGTGACAAACATTGAAATGTAGAATATTTTCCTCTGAAATCTAGGTAGATGCGCACATAAATACATGTATCAGACACGAATATGGTTTTATAGGCTACTTTCAACATGTGTATGTGATTCATGGGCATTAAAATGCAGCTTTAGGCATTAATAGTAGGTGTGAGTACTACAAATAGCAAGAGTGTAATAAGTTTTTGTTTCCCCTTTGGTAGTTAAATTCAGGTTAATCAATGGGAAAGAGTAATGATGAGGGTAATATCACTATATTACTTATAGTCTAAATAATCAGTTATTACTAAATTAAGACAAAGTAATTGCATGGGTAGAAAAGGTGGCAGGCTACACTAGAAACAAATAAACTACATATCCGTCAGAGAAATCAACAATTATCTTCGATTGTATGTTTCAAGTTTGCCGTCTGTGCCTGTCTGTAAGGCGGGGTCAGTATTTGGCAGCTGTCCCCCGCTGTGTTCAGAGTGAGAGAGGCGGGGTCAGTATTTGGCAGGTTCGTCCCTTGAGGGTGTGTGTGCGAGACTCGCTAAGCAACGACCTGCGAACGGGCACCAGAGCCAGTCCGAGCACCAGAAGAAACAGGAACCACATTATTATCGAGTGTCTTTGCAATGTTCCCGACGATACTTCTGCGCCGTCTGCTCTGATATCATCGAAGTTGCCGTCTCTCCAGGCGTCGGCTACAGAAACCAAACAAGAAATTAATGCATCTTGCTCCGCGTTCCTGTTTGTTTTGACCTGGTAAGGTACCCCGTAGCGACTGATTAGCTCGCTTTGCTAACAGCGCTTCTTCTGCTTCACTCAGCATCTTAGTTGCTAATGCTAGCCAGCTACGCTAACTGTGTCTGACGCGTTGTGTTATCTGCTTTTTTTTTTTTCTTTTTTTTTCCTGTTTGTCTTTTAATAATTATGGCTCGAGTATAGTTTGTGAATGTATCTGCCGCAGTTGGGTCTTTATTGAGAGGCCAGCACCGACGCGCACAGCGGGGTTGTAACCGTTGGTGGGTTCATTTGTGTTCATTGGGAGCTAACGGCTAACGGTTAGCAACGGAGGCAGTTCCATCACATCTGTGGCTCCTCCGCAGGCACGAGCGAGATACCTCGGGGACAGAACAACATCAACTGTTGTCAGAAATCAATAAATATTACAGGGCTTTGTTCCCGCTTTTATTTCTGGATGCCACAAGCAAAAGTGAACAATGCCTCTTGTGTTCAGTTGGGCAGACATATATTGGCATTATAGTTGTCTGTAGTCAGGAGTGTGTGTGTGTGTGTGTGTGTGTGTGTGTGTGTGAGTGTGTGAGAGAGCTTCAGGATCACCTGGTTCTGACGGTTATTGTACAGAAACATGCATCCTGTGTGTTTGTTGTTCCTTTGAACTGTCGCCGGGGGTTTCGTTTTCTGTTCTGACTGTTTCTTGAAAGCTTCCTCATTTGCACGGATGCTCCGGATTGGTTATATCAGGTTGTCTGTGCTGGAATGTTCTGGTGGTTTGTGGCACACTGTTGTTTGCCTTGGCTGTTCCTGTTGAATAGGTTATTTTAAATGTGTAATAATAATTTAAAAACGTCGTTTTGTGGATGTGGATGGCTGACTTTCATTTCTGGGCTCTCTTAAATCCTCTGCACATTGCATAATCGTATCCTGCCGTTGTCCTGAATTAGAGCGGATTGGGTCCTCCATATGGTGGACTCAAGGGCTAAGTGAAGGGACTGTAATACAAAAGTACACTGTAGGGTGCAGAACATGCACTTATATTATTATTTCTACATGTCAATAGATTACTGTGCATACACACACATATCTTATCCAGGTAATGTAAGTTAGAAAATAAATAACTATTACTAATTCCTGGGAAGTGAGGTTAATTTGCAGCATTGATTTGTCCATCAAAATAAAACAAATCTGCAACTCTGTTGACAGTCAGTTGATTGTTTAAGTAATTTATCAGCAGAAATACCAAACAGTCCCAGGTTCCAGCTGTTTATTTGTGAGGCTTTGCTGTTTTTCTTTGTTTTCTGTGATAGGAAATTGACTGACAATTGGAATAAACAGACTACCTTTTTAAAATACGCTTTTCTTAAATCATGTTTTTAGACTAAATGATTAATCTTTTAATTGGGACAGTAACCCATTATTGCCAATATCAACAACCTAAATGATGACGATTACAGTTATTTCTAACAATATCTTTATTTATATTGCATTTATCCATTCAGAAATAGCATTACAGTTTGTATGAAGGAGTAGAAAAATATACAAGGAAAACAAAGCCAGTGTTACACACCAGAGAGTGAAGTGAAAACAAGCCTGTGAAAACTGTCTTCAAGACTGACATAAAGTAAATTTATGCACTGTAAACAGGTGTTCTGACAGTATTTTGGTGCTACAGCAGCGCCTGATGCTTCTGCACCACATGCAGACTACATAATGTATCTATGTGGCATTGAGCTCATTATATGGAGCAATATACGGATTTACTACCAATAAACTAATGTACTGTATGTATACACAAAAGTGTACAATTAACCTAAATCCTTTATTATTTAATGTCAAGAAGTAATACTGTAATTATCAGACGATATACTTAAGATTCAAAGGTAAAAACACTCATTGTGAAGAATGGTCTCTTCTGCTATATCTTCTTGGTTTTTTTTGGGTTCCTGACTTTAGTGTTTAAATGACAGCAACAATCTATAAACAAGTTGAATTTAAACTGCAGCTATTTTGCAGAATACACATGATCTGTGGTTTTATCTGAGGGGCTTATGTAAAATGTGTCCCATACCTCAGTAAAGTTTAACCTGTTGGCAAAACAGCAAGGTTATTGAGTAAGAGACAGCAAATATGTCTATAGACCGGCTGGAGTAAAGGTCAACTTTGCATCGGTGCTGATGTTGGAAATATGTTAGCAAAACTGTTGTTGAGTCAGCTACTGTAACACACTTTAGATTGATGGCGTAATACACTCAGTTGAAGGTTTAGGCAAGTATGAGGTCCACGTAATTCAACTAATGCAGTCTGGGACAGTCGGTCTGCAATAAATCCTACCTTTGTGAAGGTTGTAATTACCGCTTGTTGTTGGAAGTGTTTCAGAGAGGTGTTGATTCAACTTTACGGTCGTTTTGGAAATTGTAGTTTGTGTTATCTAGAGACATACTTTTTATATTTTGTCCATGTTATGTATCAATACTGTTAGGATAGATATTAGAAGCACCTCACAATGTCATGCTGTACAAATCAGCAGCCCCACAATTAGTTGGTGGAGCTGGATAGCTGAATGGTAAAGACACATACCACATAACCATAATGGCCCGCGGTCTGATTCTACCCAGGGATCTTTGTAGCATGTCATACCCCTCTCTCTCCCCTATTTCCTGTTCATGTCTATACTGTCCAATCCAATAAAGACAAAAATCAGATGCCACTCATTTGAAAACCAGCATATTACTCAGTGGCAAGGTCAGTGAGACATTTGAGGCTTTGCCATGAGCATTAATTCTCATTAAATGTACCTCAGCTGAACCTGTAGCCTTTTTATGTGAAGGATCTCACGTATGCACATACCAGCAGTGTCAAAACTCTCCGACCTCCCGCTGTGTGAGATAAGGCTGTGTACGTAAGCCGACCCATAGTTTTTATATGGAAGGAAAACACGCGCACACACAGCAGTCACAGCAGTGTCATAACCACACAGCTGCCTGCAGTGTGGGATTGTTGTTGCCAGGTCAGTGAGTGGTTGTTTTAGACTCTGTGGACAGGGGCCAAGCTAAACCAAATGCGGTCCAAATCTCTCTAAAGCTGGACCCACACTGCCAGAAATTCACCAGATTTAATCCGTCTGCTTGTGTTCACACCTGTATAGAAATATGTTTCATAACCTCTCTTTTTATTGGTTAAAATATAATTAGCTTTTATTATTAAGCATTTAACTCTTGCTCTTTTGCCGAACAAGATAGAATCAACAAAAAAAAAAAAAAAAAGCTGGCATTTGTAACTAATTTCAATGAGTAATCAGTTCGATTGGATAGAACTTGGATATAAAATGATGAAGACTTTAAAGGAAAAGAGATGTCAATATCTAACAAGAAACCTTGGAGCGTTATCTTCTGGTGTACATTAAGCCCAAATGGGCCGACGGCAGGTTCATGCAGTGTGGCACTGACCTGGCCCAAAGATTGTGTAAATGGAGATAGTCCATTAGGCAGCTGAAATAACAAAGGCTTCCACGGGGGAAAAAATCTTTTATTCATGTGTTTTTTATCTTTGCCTACGAATATCACAGAAAAGGCCCACAAGAGCATTTTACTTTCAGATCCTGGACTATAACCATACCAAAAATAAAAGTACTGTAATTCATCATTCACAGGCATGTTCATTCAAACATAGGAAAATTGAGGACTCAGATATGTTAGGTGGATTTAGTATGCCACAGAAATATAGAAAATAATTAATGTGGCTTGCTAACATTTTTTCCTCATTAAACATATTTTTGTCTTTGGCAGGTGAATACACTAGAAAGCCTTAGACCATTTATTTTAAACCAAAACTTACAGATTGAAAGGATTTTTTTCTCTTAATACAGTGGAAATCCAGTAATTTAATTACTGGATTTCTCTTGTGCCATAAAAGCACTGCAGTCCAGGAAATACATGTCTGGAAATCTTCCCTTGGTTTAATAAATACAATAACAGATACATACACCATTTTATCTATTTAAGAATTTAAAAAGAGTGGAGCTGAAATGATCATTCAATTAGAAACTATGGAACTATTTTGAGAATCAATTAATTGCTTTAGTCATTTTTCTTTTTTTCTTTTTCAAGCAAAAAAGCCAATAATTCAGCTTTCAGCTTTTCAAATGTGAGTTTGCAGGATTTCTTTGCCGTCTATAGTCTGAAATTTTACAAACCCCACAATTAAAAGATTGAGTAATGAAAATAATTGTTAGTTGCACCCATACATCCCTGCACTTTGGTTAAAACAGATTTTTAGGTATGGGTCAGCCAGTAAAGATTTTGCTAACAATTTCTACCAAGGAAGCAATTCCTTTATTCTTTGTCGATGTGTTGCTGTAGTCTTATGGCAGGCGACAATGTTGCAAATCAGTGAGCACGACGGCTTTTTGGTAATATTGGCAATATTCCACTGTCAGGTGTGAAAACAGACATAGCCATCTGTTTATTTTATCCATTCATTGTTTTTCAATTGAATTGCTAGATGATAAAGTACTATATGAGCACAACACAATATACATCAATAAATGTGGACTAATAGACAATTGTATTCATATTACACACTCCAAACTAGTTATTTACATCTAGTTAATTATTTCCACTCCTAATCTGTGGTGCATATTATCGAATAAATGGGATTCTTGGGGCTGATGTTTGTGGATGTCACTTGGTAATGGCAGCGGATTTGGTGAGACAAGCTCTTAATTTTACTGAAGATATCAGACAGAAATTCATAATCTTTATTATCCCTGTACATTGCTGATATGATTTGACATTTTTGTTCTATACTAGAAGCAGAAGGCCACAGCTTGAGTATAAAAAGAAGGCAGATGGGGAAGTCTTATACTGGCTGGCTGCTTTGTTTAAATTGGGTCTTCAGTAGGTTTAAGGACAGCGCTCTAACTGTACAGCATCTGCTGAATGTGTGAAGCCACAAGTGAGATTGTACAGTGATAAAAGTCACATGACTGGAAATACAGGATGACAAACTAAGTCATAGAGTCA